AAATTATTCTTTCCTGTTTAACTAAAAATTTAAAGAAATGATTCATTAGTTTATTATTTTTTTTCTTTACGTTGGTACATTATGTACCAATAGTAGAATAAAAAGAAACTATTTTAATTGGGGAAATTTTTATACCAATAAACATAGCAAAAAGACACATACGCATAAAAGAAAACATCAATAATAAATTATCTGAGTCCAAAGATGATAGAGCAATATGACAAATTCATTAGTTTTCTTTTTTAGCAAATTGTTTGTCAGTAATACTGTAAAAATTTTATACAAATGTACTTCTAATTTTTCGAATTATAACTTAAATAATATATTTATCGTTATTAGATAATCATGATTATTATTATTATAATGAAAATGAAAGAGATAAAATTATGTTTGATTTTGTTACTATTTCAATGTGTATTTTATTGAGATCAACAACGATAAACTCGACAGCTATCGTCATTACTATTTTCAATATAAATATTCATTACACAACTCCAGTTGCGTCTACACCAGAGAAAGAAGTGAAAAAAAGAAAGAGAAGAGTGATGTATTATCGTAGATGCGGTCAGAGTGTCTAGTCGAATGCTCTTTAAAAAAGTGAAAGAATGACGTCCTCTAATTATTGATACAATTATTTAATATATTCAATAGATTTTAATTTCTTATTATATTTGATTTACATTATTCGAAAAAAAAAAAAAAACTTCATTATGATAATCTTAATGAAATTTTTGTACTTAAAAATAAATATTTTTTCTTAATTCAAGAAAATACATTATTCAATTCTTACAATTAAATTATAGTTTAGAAATAAATAATATTAAAGTATTACCTGAAACGACCGATGGTAATAATGTTTCTTCATCTATTTGAAATAAATGTGTATGTGCCCATACATCAGCTGAAGCATAATCAACATAAACAGGCATATCACCAATAATTGTAATTTCAAGTTTATTTGCATATGCTTTTAATTCAGACCATTGTAGATGAAATATATATTGAGTAAAAATATAATAAAGTATTAAATCTTGATGTTTTTCACGTATTTCTTGTAATGCATCGACTTCATGATATTTTAAACCATGTGGCCATTGTGACCATGTATGTTTGTTTTGTAATTCTTTAATTGTCATAAATAATACATAATCATCGAGCCAATAATTTTCTTCTTGAATAAATTTTTCTAATGAATCATGAAAACGATTTAGTTGTTCTTGAAAATTTTTAAATGCTTTTTTTAACATTATAGTTTTAAATTTAGTAACTTGATTAAATTTTACATAATGATCATCAAAATTAAATGATGATAATATATGAAAATCATCTCTTGATAATAATTGCATATCAACTAATCTATCAAGACTAATTAATAATGGATGACCAGCAAATGCTGATGTACCAGAATATGGTGAACAATTTTCAGTAGGTGTTAATGGTAATATTTGCCATACTTTTTGATCTGTTTCATGAAGCATTTTAATAAAACTATATGCTTCCGAACCAAAATCACCGATACCATATGGTCCTGGTAAACTAGTTATATGTAATAAAATACCTGATAGACGTTTCGATTTCATTTTGTTTAATGTAACTTGCACGTAACGTACATATAATCTTGCTTTATTTTTTAGTTTTCTTCTTTTTTTCTTTTTTGTTTAGTTCTATCGTATAGCGCAGTATTTATATATATGTGTGTAGACGTCGCTTGAGTGCAGCTAGAGCAGACGAAGTCTTTTCCCTCCTGTCACGTTTGTTGACACGAGACTTTCATACACGTTTTGGCAAACAATGATGTGAGCGTACACAACAGAACAGAGAAAAAAAAACACTCTAACGTCTTCTCTTATGGTTTTTTTTGCTATGAGTCCTTGCAACAATGCACTTATAGTTCTATATATGAGAACACCACAACGTGCCTTTTCTTTTAGAATAAAAGATTAACACATGGCGTATTTTTTGAAGCTACATTATCATTAAAAAAAATTAATTCTTCGGTACAGATGTTTGCATCACAATTATAGATCTTGATGTTGATGTTATTTTGAATGTATTGCGATGACATATCAAGAAACATTTTATTACTACTATTTTAATAGTATTTTTATGTGTTTTTTTTATTTATTCTATGAAACAACTTAACAAATGCGCAATTTTCATATAAACTAAAAGACTCAATAGGTTTTGCAATTTAGTGAATAAGTTGAAGAGAAATCGATCGAACATATAAATACAATATTTCTTTGAAAAAGAAGTCAGTAATTGTTGAATAATGAAAAATAAAATGATGTTTTTACAATTTGAAGAATAGATAGATAAGTAGATCTAAAACAAGGGTAGAAAATGTCATCCTGTAGAACTTAAAAAGTTAGTTCAATTAAAAATACGTTTCTCAATGATATGATTGAAAAAAAAATAAGTAAAAATTTGTGATCAATTTTTCAAATTTTCAACAGATAGAATACGAAATGATAATAAAAGCTTTCCACATCGTAAATTTATTCACAGTATTGTCAGTATAGCACTTACAACTTTTGGCTTTAGCCTTTGTAAATTTAAATTTAATATTAGAAAGAATTCTAATTCATCAAGAAAAAGAAAGCTACAGAATATATTTTACTAATAAAAACTTTTTATCTCAAAACTGAAACCGATTTTTGTTTGGCTATGTTCTTTGGTCTGGGGAAACCGGAAAACGAGTAAGAAGCATTCAAAACTAAAAGAAAAACTGTGAACAAGAAAGGTTTGATAGCTGAAAACTTTAAGAATTGAAGACAAACTTTTATTAATGTTTTCTCAGGATGTTATTGAAAAAAGGCGTTTTAATTTAACCGAATTTCTCATTTCTATATGTTATTATTAAGGTAGTAAGATATTTTAAAACACAATAGCCTCATTAGCTTTTCCATTGCTCATGATTGTCTATTTCTTGACAAAGTTTTGGATATGTGACACTGCTGAAATAAAAAAAAGTACTCATTAGGGCTTTATATGGCTTTCTTTAACGATAGACAAGAAAAACTAACAAGAACATAATTAAAAATCGAAAACAAAAGTGAATTTTAACTTCAAAATGGTAAGAGAATCATTCGAATTGAACTATACTGTATAGTAAACATGTATTTTTTTTTAACATTATAATACTTTTGATATCAAATAATATTTTAAGAAAAATATTTAAGTTCATTGGTCAAAATCATATGCAAAAGAAATCTTGCGTGTGGACAACACAATAATTCGATCAATATTTATTGTTAACTTAAAAGAAGTCATTTTACTGCACTTTTATAAAATGTTATTAAAATTTGAATTAAATATGATGTGTAAATAATTTCAAATAAATTTCTAATTAATCAAAATATTGAAAAAATTTTAATTACTCTATTTCACTGCGAACCAATTAATCTTTTATGTTAAATTAGATCAGATTGTTTTCATATGCTATATATAAATTAATTTGAGTATATTTTAAAGATCTAAAATTGAACTAGATAGATATTTTTGAATACAAATATATCGATTAAAATTGTATACAATTGTCTTAATTTTCAAATGTTGAATTAGACTGATACTTCTAAATAAAGATTTACTTATTAATATTATGTACTTGAAATCAGGTATAAATTTAAATGTTCCTTATGCTTTATTGAAAAAAATATGTTCACATATTTGCTTGTCTCAATTACCTGCTACAAATAATACCATAGGAACAATCTGTCACTTAGACGAGAAAGTAAATCGAATACAAGCAATCATACTGATGGTTGAAGATAGAAAACTAAAGAAAGTTGTAGTAGAGTGTTAAAGGGAACGGAGGAAAAAAAATTGAGCCTACTTCTCTACTCTCACAGAGGAGTTTTGACTATGTGAGAACGATATACTAAGTCGAATATACCTCACAAAAAGAAAGAACTTAATATCGGTGTCGATAGTGTCGTGAACTGTGGAATAGATGGATTATTTCCTTCTCGTTTCTTTTGATGTTAGTTGTTGGCATCGAGCAGAATAGTGTTTCAGCTATACTTTTGAAAAAGTTACTGCTTTCGCTGGTGCGATGAAGTATGAAATTTCAAATGAATCTCGGCAGTTACTATGTGAGAAAATTCAAGTTCGAATTTCATCATATAGAAATTTTCTAAATTATGATTCAAAATTCGCTGCATTCAAGCAGTAAAAGAAATATAAAATCTTGAGTTGATGTTATTGAAAAAAAAACGAGTTTATTGTCCTTTTATGCACATTCAATTGTAATTTTGTCTGGTGAAAAATTATGAAAATTGTTTTCAAACATAGCCATCTTCGTCATTTAAGAAATGCATTGATGTCTATTACAATCGTTCACTCTATTTTTGGAAATTTTAATGTTTGTAGATATAGAAAAATATTTTGCCGTACTGGTGCTTGAAAATGTATAGTTATGTGAAATAAACTATTCTCAGTTGAGAGAGTGATGAAAATTTTTAATCCTTGACGTTTGAGGTTGGACATCAAGTATACACATCATAAGTTACAACTGAGGATTAGCTCTCTCATAAGCAAATTCTGCCTACATCATTCGAGAATCAAGAAAAATAATTTGTTTTTTTGTTAAAAATCTGCCATTACTAATCTCTCAGATAATTGAAAAGTATTGCAATAGTAATGTATTGATTGAAAATACAAGTGTGATATAGAAGACAAAATCGATTAGAAATCCTTCTAAGCTGCACAAATGCACTTTTCTATTGGTTGTTCGGTTAAATTAGGATTCTGATAAAAAAAAAATACAAGCATTAATTGAAACTTGCTATTCAAAACGATGACCTTCTCTTCGCTGTCGACTACATTATTAACAATTCTTCTCGTCTATTATTGCACAGCATCCGTGCATGAGATGAATATCGATGAAGATAAACGGGGCTTCCGTTCAGCAAACTATCCGTAAGATTTAAAAGAAAAAAAAACGACAGTTTGAAAATGAACAAAATCGGCTTTATTTTTATTATGTACAATATAGATTAATGACATATGAGCGTGCATTTGAAATTCTCAATCAATTGGGAAGAAATCGACTATTAACTGACAGTTTCATAGATAACCTTTATGTACCTTCAGGAGATCCCCCAACGAAATATTTTTGGTCTGGTTTCGGAGTTGATGAAAGTCCTGAAGTGGCCGCTGAAATAGCTCGTTATCACAATGGTGTAACACTCGAAATGCTAATCGAACTACCTGAGAATGCTGCTATCAAAGGACAAATGTGCAAGTGGCCACTCAAAGAAGATGTATCACCTATTGCTGAAGCATGTCGTGCACAGTGGAAAAAACTTTCGAGAACATATGCAGAAAAAACACGAGGTATATTCATTTGATTAGTGTTTTATTAACGAACATATTCCATTGCTTTTATCTCACAAACTTAGTTCGATTTTGGAATTGGAAACATCCTTCGATTTGTTTTCCATTTTATAGCGGTTTTTCTCTCTAATGGGCGATCGATTATTCTTTTTTAATTGAGATCATTTTCTTATTTTCGAGAAGATTTATAGATATTTTCTTTAGGTCGAAGAATGGACTCAACAAATAGTCCAAAATTTAAAAAAAAATCGATACTCACAAACTTCTTCTTGTAAAACTCTTAAATGATCTTTTTTCTGCCTTATCTATTAACCATTTTGATATGTTTGAAGCCATCTAATCAATACCAATAATAGACGATGATTTTATTTCAGGTCATGCTATACCAATTCTTGGTCAACGTGTTTCAGCGAACAGCATTTGGCTCACAGAAGAAAAAGTAGCTCTCCAACAGAGTGCACAAAAAGGAAATTATGTCTACGGCTTTCAGAATAATATGGATCTCATTAATGTGTACTGTGTTAAGATGGCTCTGCATAAAACTGCATATCCGCTTGCGAAAGCAAAAATATGTGGAAATCTCTTGGGCTAATACTTTCTGTTGCGACACAATCAATACAATAAATTTTTGCTAATGACTTAACTTTCGATTCTAATTTAATGAATGTTCAGAATATGTCAGGCCTACACAGTCATATCAGATTGTTATGGCTCTTTCAGATACATGACACTGTCTTAATTGAAAAGATTTTATCAATTCGACTTTGCAAAAGTAAGTGGATGATTGTGAAAAATGTAAATCAAAGTATAAAGCTTTTTCATAAAAATACGGAACAAAATGACGAGCGAATGTTCCTCTCAGTCTGTAAATAATCATCAGTAAAAGAATTGATGTTACGCATATTTACAGTAGGGTCTGGACTTGAATTGGAATGTGAAGTGCTAATGTCTATGTGGGCGTGCAGTAAGTAGATGTATTGATTCTTTCTTAGTGATCACGCATATAGACATCCTAATCATCAGAAATCGCTTGATAAATATCTTGCATAAAGCAGTCATATATTGAAGAGTGACTGAGCGGCGCAAAAGACAACATGGTTTTATATATTTTATTTAATGGATGACTATTTTTTTTTTATAAATGCTAGGTTAATTTCAACACATACAAAACAATGTATAGTGATTTTTTCCTATTTACTATTGTTTACTATGTTTGAGATAACATGAGTTTTTCTTTTTCATAGATTTTTATTCTGATAGCGAAATATTAAAACATTTTCCTATCTAAAACTATAGTAATAATGAAAAGTAGTTGTGAAAATTTTTTTTCCATTGTTCAGGAAAAATAGAGAAAAATGACAGAAATACGCAGTGTAATGGTGTTGAACTATTTTATTCGAGGAATAAATGTCTTGAAATAAACATATTTTAATTAACTCTATTGAATATATAAATGTAGATTTGCAACCACACCCTGTATGCAAAATTGTTTTATTTTTGTTGGTTATGTTAGAAAGGTGAATGTAGAAACAAAAGTATTTGGCTATTTCAGACGTGATGAATCTAATGAACTTGTTCGTAATTAATTGATGAAAGAAAATTAAAATAAGTATATATTCTCAGCTTCGCGCGTCGTTCTTTACCAATATAGTAAAGAAAGTCCAAGGTCAGAGACTAATGAGTATATTTTTCTTGGCGATTGGAAGAAGATGCATGAGAAAGAAAGGTCAACGATTATTGAGTAAGTGTTCATATCGATCGAGGGCAACTGACATCAAATTGCGTTTCATAGCAACGAGAACAGATGCTAAACAGCACTAATGAAAATGATTAAACTGTTCTAGAAAATTCAAGAATAATACAAAGTCTTCCTTAAAACTTCAATGTCCTAAATGGTGCGGTTTTTGATTTTTATGCAAATAAAAATTTATATTCAAGATACCAAAAAGAGAATGTGAGTAGTTTTGACTGTGAATCTAAATAAAGTGAGGATATTCACACCCATCCTTTCGACTGGGCGATCCATTCATACAATTTCTAACACAATGAACTCTTCAATACAGGAATCAGAACTTTTAATGATGTTTGTTTTTAGTAAACGTACTGTTTTTTGTGGTTGATCTTCACTCTACATTGATAATGATACAGATATTTTTTTCCTTTCACTTTCATCGTCGATGTCACACAATGCGTCGTGATAATTACCTAATTACTCTAAGATTAGTCAGAATAACTATATGAAGTTTTTAAAAAAATCAGAAAAAACATGATGGCGACTGACAAATAAAAGAGAAAGTTTTCTTAGTTGCGTTGAAAAATCTGTGCATTAGATAATGGTGATTTGCTATTAACTCCTATTTTCGTTCTGTTGATGATTGTACCGATGTTCCTGTAGGACCTTTTTTTGTTGTTGTTTGTCTGTACCTCCGCAAAAATTCATCTAAATTTTTTCTAGCTGTTGGACTTTTCTTGAAATGTTCTTGTACCATGTTAATATAATCATCATTATTCATCTGAACTGTACCTTCTAATTCTTTTGGCAAGCCACATTTGCCTATTTCACATGGTTGTATCGATTCACCATATCGACGTAAACAGCACGCCCATATTAATTTCGGTATTTCTTGTTCGGGTAATTTCTGCAATAGTACACATTGTAGAATTGCTTGTGCTTTCTCACCAGTTAATTGTTCATTTGGATGATCAATATCAACAACAAAACCTGGATGATAATAACAACCTCCATCACGTGCATCTTTGGGTGTATAATTTCGTAAACATTTAGGACATTTTCTTGGTGTTTCTTCATCAATACGTTTCTTTTCATCTATATCATCTATAAGAACTTGAGCGGATGATTTTCTAAATTCAATATCATCAACCAATGTATTCTTCAACCATGGATCTTTCACAATCATAACAATCCATTTTTCAATTTTTGTAACGACACCCTAAATGAAATGTTTATTGCATTGAAAAATAATTTCAAGTGTAAATAGAATATTGAGAATAGAAATGTCCCGAAGCAAAGTAGGCAAATCTTAAACTCAAGATTTGAATTTACCTTCAGTTACACTAGTTTAGATTTGCGAAACTCACTATTGAGATAGCATGTTTTACATATAAGGAGACCGATTCAATTGACACTTTTCGATTTAGTTCATATTTTTCTTATAAGTAGAGCTTATAGTGTAGATAAAAACTAAAAAAAAAAAGGTTATTTTTGTTGCTGTCATATCTGAATTGTCGAATGTGGAATACAGAATTTCTTGTCAACTCAATCTTGTGTACAGTTATTTGTGCAGCAAATAAACACATACGTCAGATATGTTTCTTGCTCTAGATGAAAGGGGATGTGGCAAGAATCGTCTTATGGTTTTTATCTACCTTGTAAGTCCTACCTATGTGCAAAATATGAGTTGAAATGGACTGTATCAGTTGGACGGGTTCCTTCGCGAGAGTTCTGTTCAATACAAATATAATATCCGAGTTGATTAGTGTTTCATTAAAAAAAAATCTCAATCAGACTCAAATCTAATTCAAATTTGAGTTTGTCAAATATAACTAATTAAGTTAAATGTGTTGTAAGTTAATTCTTACCTTTTCATTTGGCTCTGTTTCTTCAACAATAGATGTTTTACATTTTTCTCGTATAAATTGATAGACACGTATATTTGATATTGATTTTGATGTTGACATTTCTGAATCTGATTTATTTAACATAATTAATGAATCAATATCAAATATAAGCATTGATCTATTATATTCATTACATTCAAGAAATGTTGTTGTTAATAATTCAAATATTTGATTTTCATCAAAAGCATTTTGTTTTATTAAAAAATTTAAATCAATTGTTTGTATTGTATCAATATTTCGTGTTGAACAACCATGTATAAAACGTGCTAATAAACGTGGTACAGATGTTTCATCAGATTCTAAATCTTTTTCTAATGTTGGTTCATCTTTTATTTCAATAAGACATTTACGATCAGTATAATCAATTAATATACGTCCTGTTGGTTTTAATTTTTCAAATTCTAATGAATAATTATCTTCATGTTGTGTTGAATTAATTATAGTTGGATTTAAACGACATATTTCAGGTAATGTACTTATACCAAACCAAATATTAAATTCACGTGCTACACTATCAGCTAATTCTAAAAGACGATGATCTGTTATTTTAGGATTTCGATCCATTTCAATAATTAAATTTGATTTTAATGCACCTATGGCAGCACCACTAAAATTTGTTGTAATTTTAACTAAAGAATCTATACGTTTTGGTGTAAAAACACTTGAATCTTTACAAACTAATGGTAATAACATATTACTTCTTATTGATGGTGATGGACGACCAACAAATACTTTAGCTTGCATTCGTCGAAGAAATGCTTCATCCATCATATTACGACGATTTGTAGCACCAAATACAATTAAATTTGGAATATTTTTTACACCTTCAATATGTGATAATAATACACTTATACCATCAACTTTTCCTTGTTGTGCATTATTATCACGTTTAGGTACAAGACCATCAATTTCATCAATTGTCATTGCACAAATTAAAAATGGAATAGTATGTGCACGATACATTATATCAACAAGAAGTTTTTCTGTTTCACCAACATATGGTCGATTAAGTTCACCAGCAGCTAATGGTTGTGTAATCATTGTTATTCCAGCATAGATTGCAACTCGTTTAAGTAGTTCAGATTTTCCTGTTAAAATATTAAATATATATAAAAATAAAAATAAAAATAAATCATAAAATCGAATTTCAATAAATTAATCATACTTTAGTTACTATCATTTAGAAAAATTTAATACTCTTTCACTTAGCTGTTTTTGTTTTTGTTTTTGAACAACAAAAATAATAATGATTAGAGACAACTTATAAGACAAATAATGCTCATTGAACAGATTGATTAGCCTTCTTCTACAAAATAGTATCGTAGTCTTACAAAGAAATTTGTAGTTAGAGATTACACTACTTTTTCAATAGTAAATATAATCAATTACTCGACAAAGCATCTTATACAATTCACACCTCTCCGAAGAAGTTTTTTTCTACATCTGACATTCAAAAATAATGTCCGATCTAGTCATCGTTATTCTGACAATCGTTTTATGTTTATAAAATCAATATATCTTTCTTATCTGAAGCTACGAGAACCATCCATCATATAGAATACATTACTTCTATATAAAATGCATCTATGTTTATATCAAAAGTCTGTTGAATGCCATTACAAATTTTCTCATCGAAATGTCTGATCAAACTAATACGTGAACTCTCACCCTCTATACATTCTGTGTCTTAATAAAACATTGTTAAAAAAGCCGAAAAACTAATGTGCAAAAAATAAACTTTGCATTTAAAATCTCTAATTTTTCTTTCGTCTTTAGTCAAGTTTTGAAACAACATTTTTCTCGATATATTTACATTGCTAATAGCAACAGATTATAAGAAAAGATGAATTTGATTTCAGACTTGGTTTCAATGTCTTTCACAGCTGTTACACATAAGTCACCACTTTTTACTACAGAGGTTGATCAATCGTTTTCTTTTTGAAACTCAATTTCATTTACATATTTCATAGGTACATCAGTTAATGAGTTTTTTCTCTTACCAAGCGTGTCTCAATAGTTCAAACTATCGCTGAGATACTCAATTTTTATTTTAGTATGAGTTTATATTTGTTCAACTAATGATGTTTACATCACCGATGTTTACTGAGAAGCATGCCATTTCTGATTGACATGATATAGAATCGTGAAAATTTCAGGGTAGTTACATACTAAGTTATGCTAAACAACAAAATGATTCCCAACGCTAGATGTCACATTCTATGACCAAGTTAATTTTTGTTGGATAAAGAAGGATGAAAATATCATATTTAAAATCGGCATCAAAAACTGAGTCAAATAATATATATTTTTGTAAATAATAATTTTTCACCAAAAACTTACCTGATGCTAATTTCAAATATAATATTGTTATCCTTTTTTGTTCAATGAAAATCTATAAAACCAGCTAAATATATAGTAAATTATCATAAAACTTTGACTTGGTAGACCCAGACTTCTTCTTTCATCAACATATAGCCCCACAGTTCTAGTATCTAATGTAAAAATTTCAGCCTTAAAGAATTGATTAAGCGAAAGATTTTGAATGCTAATGTTTTACTACCTCATACTAAAAGTTGAATATTTCAGCGACACATTGACCTATCGAGATGTGCTTAGTGACAAAAAAACTTTGATGTTGTAAATACTTTTCTTTATAAAATTTCTTGCATAAACTCAAACGGCGTAAAGAATTTGTAAAAATCTTTCAACAGTATATTTTCTGTTCTTGAAAGGAAACTTTAACTTTTACCAGTTCCCGGTGGACCATATAATAAGAGACCACGTCCATACTTTACTGATAATTTTTTTTGTTGATCATCTAATTTGAATTTCATTAATTTTTCTAAATTTTCTATTTGTTTTTTGTTATTAGCAGCTTTTGTTACTAAACTCATATAGAGTTCATTTTCTTTTTCATATACTTTTTGAGCATTTTCATATATTTTATCTCGACGATTTTTTGATACTTCTATATTTCTTAATGCAGTAACACGTCTTCTATCAGATTGTTGTATGTTTAATTCTAATTTCGGTAGTTCACGTCTTAATTGTTCAATTTCAGTGGCCCATCTTATTGTTTTTTGTTCATATAATGCTTTATCTTCAATTTTATTTTCCAAACAAAATGTTCGTAAATAATTATGAATATTAATTAATATATTACCATCATCATCGTAAGTTTTTCTAACTTCATCAATAGCTAAATCAACTGCTTTACGTGATAAATATGGTATAAGATAAAGTTTTTTTATTGTATAATAAAAATAACGTCGAACACGATGAATATCACCTATTAATGTTGCTGTTGATTCTTTATATGGATCTATATTTTGATGAAATGAAGCAATAGCACTATTAATTTGCATATAATCTCGTATTAATTGTTTAACAACATGACTAATTCTATTCAATTTATCCCAATCATCTTTTGTTATACTACGTAAATGATCAATTGTATTGATATTTTCATCTAAACAAAACAAAAAAAAAGAAGACAATAAGATAAAATTTCTCATTCGAGAATTAACTTCGTAATAGTTGTACAGAAATTCGTATATATACTTCTTATGATAAGCAAATAAAACGAATTTTTTTTTAAGATAGAAAAATAAAAACTTCGACAAAATTTACCTCTAAGAGCAGCAATCCATTTATTTGCATCTCTTTCATCATATTTATTTTCTCGACAAATCGTACGTAATACTCCATACAATGTTGTTGTATCATTATCATTTACATTAACTTCTGTTATTGATGTCAGATTACTATTATTTGTTGAACCGATATGAAGTTCTCGAACAATAACATTTGTATCATTTGTTGTTCTCCATAATTTTGGAAAAGTATCACCATTTTGACATTCATATTCAATATCAAATAAATTCAATAGAAAATAATGATTAAATGGACCAAATGCATCATTTTTACGTGTAAATAATGTTGGACGATAAATTTTACATATTGTTTGATTACTTGTATCAATAGAATCATTTAATATATGAAGTGTATAAAGTTGTAAAATTGATAATTTTCGATTATTAACTATCATATTATCATCTGGACGTGTAAGTTCTTTAACAAATTCACGAATATAAGAATGATCATATTTTATTTTTAGATTAAGAATAATAACTTTAATGTCAATTGGTTGACTTCCTTCTGTTAATATTGCTGAAGAAGAAGAAGAAGGATTTGTAGATGAAAACATATTTGATGTTGATGAATGAGATTCTTGGTTTAAAGATATAGAATCGAGTGGACTGGAATCATATGGCTTCCATGGTTCATCATCACCATCATCAAGTCGTTTCGACATAGTTTTAATCTGAAAGTATTATCAATAAAACAGTAACAATCAGCACAAACATGAAGAAATTGACAAAAGATACAAAAAAAAAGTCAAAATCAGTCCATTGTAAAAGAGAGAAAGAACGCTCGTTGCACTAATTGAGAAAACATGTTATAGTTGTTGGTAATAATTTTGAAAAGAAAAGTTACAAACTTGAAAAAGATTGATTTATTGAATTTCAAGTTCATTTTTAGATTTTTACTCTCAAGTTTTCTGATTCAATATGAAAGTCTCAATAGAGAAACTTGACAACATAGTCAAAATACGTATTGAATAAAAGAATGGATTTTGTGTTTGGGAGAACTTGAAAATTTACTTACTTTTTCAGATGAATCAAAATTATCTTTTTTTTTTTGTATTTTATTTTAACTTCTAAGAAATAATGTGAAGTATGAGTTTTGCTTTATTTTTATCTGTCTTTGACAAAACTTGGTTTTTCTTATGTCAGTCATAAATTATCAAAAAAAAAAAGTATTTTCTTTTGTGTACAGTTTCCTCATCAAGAATTTGTTCAAAACAAAGATGGATGTGATATTTAGCATTCGAATAAAAATTGTCATAAAAATGCTACCATTTTTTCTTGTTAACATTATGTCATAAGAAAATGATCGAAGAAAATCAAATTTTGTCTCGAATAGATAAAATTAGAGCAGAAGTCTTACTGCACATTACCTCTAACAAGTCCAAAGTTAAAATACGGTACAAAGAACTCAATGTATAACAAATCAATCTTTCACAAGTTTATTTTTAAAACTGTTCGGAATGTTTTCAGTGTCAAATACTTGTCAAAATTTTTCTCTTCTGAATCACTATCAACTACTAAAACATATACTATCGAAATTAGTTCAACGAGCTCTCTCTCTCTCTCTCTAATTATATATCAATAACTAAAAACTACGATCTAGCGAAAGTTGCGAATTCTGGACATCTTAATTCTATCAGAATAGTTTCCAGATTACAAAATGATATTTTATAAAATTCAATGACTGAATCTATTGCTTACTTCAATTTGTCAAAAATGAAAAAGAAAAAGAAAAATTCATTATTCATTTAGTGTTTGTTGTTTTTCATTAGAATTAAGCGAAAAAAAAAACGAAATTGATATAATTTAATGATTATTTTAAAATGAAAATGTTTGTTTGTGCTAAAACATCTTTTTTTATTTTTCGAAAGTCTTTACTCATATCGTTGTTTTTGTTGTGTTTGGTATTGTGGATTTCTATTATTCGATATACGAGACTGTTGTAATCGGTTCCATACGTCAGGACGTGCTTGAAAATCATATTCAAGAATTGTATTTGTCTTTTGTTGAACTTTGAAATAAACATCATGATAATTTGTTTTAATATTTCTTAATGTTTCTTCATATTGTAGAATTTTACGAAATGTATCATTACGTACACCTTCATAATTTTGCATATTTTCAACCGATTTTTTAATATTTTCTTTCAATTTATCACATGTTTCTTCACTTGCCATCATTGCATTATAATTTTGTTTTATATTTGTATTAACAGTATCAATATTTTTCTGAGTATCAGTCATAATTTTTCGTGTATGTTCTTGATGTACACGTAAATCATGAATTTTATTTTGAATACGTTCAATTTCATTTTCTTTTTGTTCTATTTCAGTATCTTTACGACGTAATTTTTCTTGTAAATCTTGTATTTGATTGTTTAATTTTTTATCTTGTGCTTCTAATAAAGATAATTTTGTTTGAAGAGTTTTAATTTTATTCATTTGTTGTTGAATAATTGCTTGTTTTTGTTTATATAATAAATTTTGTTTATCTAATTCTTGTCTAGTATTTTGTTGATCTAGTTCACAAGTGTTTTTTTCTTCTTGTAAATCTTTAATATTATTATCAATTCGAGTCAATTCAGCATTATTGGCTGCATATTGATGTTTATTTGTGTCCAATAGATCACGTTTAACAGTAATTTCTTCTTTTAATTCTTGTACATTTTTCTTACTTGCTTCAAGTAAACTTTCTTCATTGGCTATTTCTCGTACTTTAGATTTCTCAGTATTTTCTTTATCCCGAATTGATTGTTTTAATGATTGAACTTTTTGCTTTGACAGTTCAACGATTGTTTGTTTCTGTTTCAGATCATTTGTAGCTGTGACTAAATTCTTTTGATTGGAAGTTATCAGATCTTGATGGTCAGTCATTGTTCGTTGATGATTTTTTATTGTTCTATCTATCATTTGTGTCTCATCTGACAACTCTTTTTTTTGTGCTTCATATTTAGTAAAATCTTGTTTATGTTTTTCAAGTTCACTGTTTAAAGTAACGATTTTTGCACGAACATCTTCCATTTTGCTTTCTGAATTTTTCTTTTCAATTTGAAGTTGTCTACGTTCTGATGTTGCATTTCGATATTGAGTAGTTATGTTTTCAACTTTGCTTTTACATATTGCAACATCGTTAATTTTAGAAGTCAATTTTCGGTCTTGCTCCATACGATCCTGTGTTTTTTGCTTCAATTGACTTGTCAAATCCAGAGTTTTATTTTTCGCTGCTGTATGTTTTTGTTCTTGATCTGATAAGTTTCGTTGCTTTGTTTCCAATTTTTGTTCGGCCTGTTCTAAGTCATGTCGTGCTCGATTAACAGCATCTTGCTTTTCTCTTTTTGCATCTTCTCCTATCGAAATAATCCAAAATTTGAATGAAGAACAATTCTTTAACTCATTTTCTGCCTGTTGCAATTTGTTTTTAGCTTGTGTAACTCGTTCTTCAGCAATTTTCGCTTCATATTTAGCATTATTTAATTGTACTAACGCAGCCTGTTCTTCTCTTTCCGCTTGTGCTTTTTGATTAGTTAATTCACGTTCTTGTTGTTTCAATTGATTTAATAATTGTTCGGCCTGTTGCTGAGCACGTTCAGCTTCCTGTAATTCTTTTGTATATTCCTCTTTACGTGTACGTAAATCTTCACATTCATCACCTTTCATAGTCAAGTCATTTTCTAGTTGTTGACATGTTGTTTTTAAATTATCTAGTAATATATTTTGTGCTTGTTGTTGTTCTTCAATATTACTAATTTTCATTTGACTTTCTCTCATTAAATCTTCAGCAGCTGCTAATTTTAATTTTATATTTTGTAATTGATTTAAATAATCAATACGTTGATCATCTAATTGTTGCCAGGTTTTCATTAATTGTTGTTTCTCAACTTCCAATAATTTCTTTTGATTTTCTAATTCTACAACTTTTTGTTCATTCTTCCTCAAACTGTCTTCTTCAGCCTCTAATTCTTTCTTGGTATTATGAATTTCTTCTCTAAAATAAATGTACAGAAACATATACGTAACTGTTACATTCTTGTTCTGCTGAATACGAAATGAACGGCAATATTTATTTGAATTATATAGCAAACTAGAATACTTATTAGGATTTTCTCTTACAATTTCCTCCTTCTCTTCAGACGTACAGAAACGGGATCAGACTTAGTCTATCTGGCAAACATTTTCAAGTTGGTTATGAATATGTATAGTAAAATATAAAAGTTCTTGCGACCTTTGCATAATTCAACTTTTTAAAAGCATAATCGTGGAAGTTTCTCGAGAATATTTCCGAGGACTTTCTAGAAGGTGAAGAAAGTTCTATTTATAGTCGCATAAACCACAAATTGCCATAAACATTCTATAGTGGGGAAAAAATACCTAGACAGCTAAATAGCGACGTCGCAGGATTACTGCCGACAACGACAAGACACTCGGTCAATGGATTCGACGAAACAACGAGACAACGGCGAAACAATTGGCACAAACACTGATTCAAGACTAAGATCAACATGTATCCTAATTGACGGTACAGAGACAGTTCAAATGCGTGGATTACAAGAGTAATTTGTCCTATGCGACGCTTATGTTGACACAGAAGCAGATAGATGCATATGTCCAATAGACAATTCAAAACAAGGACGACAGCTAGAATCGAACAATATTTACCGATGAGGTTTGCTATCAATTGTTCAGAAACATCATTCGTTAATGATCAAATATTTCCAAGGCCGAGGGTAAACGAATTCTGAAGAGCAGACAGAAGACTATGGTTTGAGGCGGCTTCAGCGGCAACGGTCTGGTCGACCATCATTTCTTCAAGTCTAGATTATAAATAACTCTTACTACGTTCAAGTTCTTCAAAATCTCTTCATCGGCAACGCCAGGTTGCAATTTGGTCAACACTGGCGATTGCAACAAGACAATAATTGAAAACATAGGAGTCGAGTTGCAAAAAACATTTTTTTTACAATGATTCTGGTAGAAAAAAACCTTAAAATAGATGCAGCAGTAGTAAATGTATAGTAAAAATACTGAAATCATCGAATATGAATGTGTGTGTATGTTTATTCATGCTACAGTATTTTCTTCATGTAGTTGCCATTTTTCTATCTATTGCCTATACACACAATGACCTTGAGTATTTTTGCAAAAACTCAAGAACAGAAAGAGATAGAGAGCTGCGACTTTCATCATTCAAGAGAAAGTAGTCAGAGTCATCAGAGTAGATCGATACTTGATCAGTCAGCAATTGACTAATTAGAAGACTTTTTGGTAGAGGTTTTTGAAAATGATATTCTGAAGCTATTTTTCTTTCACTTTAGGCTTTTAATGGAATTACATCCTGGAAAAAAACGTTCTCTTTCGATCTACGCAGTGCCAAAATTCCCAGTTGGTTTTACTCATGCAAACACCAAACGCAAAATGCATGAATTGAAATGCGATTTCATTATTAACCAATATGAAGTACGTCTAAACACTGTCAGAAATAATTTTGAAAGGCACCTGAACTCGATTTATATCAAACCGCGTTTCTAGTAGCACATTATGTTGGATCTAGACGCAAAGGAAACACCATTCAGATACAACTTGATAGAAAAAAACTTACATGGGCATTCAGTCAAGGATTAGTGAACTATCTCTGTCTACCTACTTTTCCCGATTATAATCAGTAAATTGGCTGAATTTTTATCTAGCGATCTGTCAGAAATCGTCTAACGGACTAGGCCGAATCGACTATTGACTATTAACGGTTATAACTCGAAATTCTAACTTACCTCAATGTGTTTAATTGTTCATTGATTTTATGAATGTTTTTTTTGTATTCATCCATAGTAGTCTGTAAACGAGCTAAACCAGCTTCTCTTTCCTTTAATAAATTTGTCAGTTGTATAATGAGAGCTTCTAATTCAGCTTGTTGTTTTTTTAAATCACTCTGATTCGATATTAGTACGCGTTGTTCTTCATTTAAACGTTCAAGATTTCGATTAATTTCTCGAATCCTGTTTTCTAAATCTTTAATTCGCTGCGTCAGATCTTCAATTTGACTTTCAGTTCTTGCCAATTCTTCTTTTTCTCTATCTAATTTTAATTCATTTTCTCTTAATTCTTCTTGAGCTTGTCGTATCAATTCTTGTAGACCATTTAATGATAATTCTAATCTATTTCTTTCATCGATCATTTCTTTTTCTTTGTACATCATATCATTAATTTGTTCTTGCAATCTTTCTCTTTCTTCTTTCATTTTTTGTTGTCTTGCTTCGTTTTGTCGAAGATCATTTTCAAGACCTTTTGCATGTAAATCTTGTTCATGTAATTCACTTTTGCCTTTTTCGAAATCATTACTTAAACGAGCATGTTCTTTTTGTAAATCTCGCTGCTCCTTCTGTAATGCTTCTAATTTTTTCATTTCATTTTGGATTTGTTGTATTAAATCATCATGTTTTTTTAAACTTTCATCTGCTTCCTCCATTTGTTTGTTCGTCAGTTGTCGAGCATCATTCTTTTTTTTTGTGAATCGATCCATTTCATGAGAAGTGTGATCATTTAATTTAGTTTTTTCTTCATTTAAAATATCAATCTTTGTTTTACTTTCAGATGATAATTCCCTCATTATATAATCAGGTACAGAGCCTAGATTTGTGGTCATTCCTGAAGCCATACGAGTTTTATTGAATGTTTACGATCTACAAGCAAAAACAAAATATCTTGTTAAGTGAAGTAAAACAGTCTTCTTTTACAATGGCTGTGTGAGCTCGAGGATGTGGATGTGGGTGTGGGTTTGGGCGTAAGTAGTCGTTACCGAACGCGAGCCTAGACCGAGCAGCTTTGACCCAGCCGAGCTTGCGCTCAGCTAAAGCCTAAACGAGTCTGACAGAGCCCAAGTGAATCTTACGAAACTCAACTGAGCTTGACCAAGCCAACTGAGCCTTCACGAGCTACTCGAGCTTGGTATTTGTTTAGATGTGAATGAGATTGTGAGTGTTGATGCAAGTGTGAGTGTCGGTGTAGGCATGGATGGAGATGTACCGAACCGAAGCCTAGATAAAGCTGCTCTAGCTCGATCGGACTTGGACACTGTCAGTCCTTGGCTCGGATCGACTTTGGCACGATCAGGCTCAGGTTTGGTCGGGCTTGCGCTCAGTCAAAGCTTGAACAAGCCTAACCGCCAAGTCCAAATGAGTTCGACCGAGCTCAGCTGAGCATTCACGAGCTTTACTGGATTCGAGCTCGATACATGCATACATGTTGGTGAGATTGCGGTTGTAAGTGCAGGTGCGCGTGTAGATGTGGATGTGCAATCGAATATAAAATTGATATTAACACTTAAATCTACATCTACACAGAGATCGATATCTCACACTCTCATTACGCCAATATCCCATATCACACACATACTACAACTAATACCCAGTACTGTGAACCCTCCAAAAGGTTAACTCTGGCGGTCGAAGTAGATGAATGTCAGATCAGAATGTGTTTTACTATGAAATTACGTTCTGTATATACGGGAAGATGCGACGGAGATGTTTATGAAGGTAAACAAGTAAGGAAAATCCAACAAGAGCGATGAAAGGGAAAATCCCATTTGTGTTAATGCCGACGACACAAAAGGGGGAAAATTTATGTGGAAGGAAAGAAAAGAATAAGTGAATTCTCTAGAAAAGAAAGATACACTGGGATCGAAACAATACGAAGTGGAGCTCAGTCACTCCGTGACAAATACTCAAATGCTCGCAGTACTTAGTGTTTCTGACTTGTTCACATGGTCTCCTGCATCTGAACTAGTTTTGTAATATTTTCGTAGTCTTTTCTGTTTGATTTTTTGTGCATACTTATCTATTCTAAACGATGCTCCATTTTTTAAATGGAATTTGAATAATATCTTTATTTAGAAACTCGTCAATGATGTTCTTGAAAAGCAAACCATAGTTCCCCAACAGAGAACGAAAAAAAACGAAAAAAGGGTAATTTTTGTTCTCGATCCGATGAAATTCAGCCGGTTTTATCTTTCGCAATGTAATAAAGTAAATGTTTACTCGATATAAAAGTAAATGCCAAGTAATGAAAAGAGAGCGATACAGCTATTATGTTTCATTTCTAGTCCCTGATTAATCAAAATCTAGGATATATTAAGACACTTTACCCTTCTTTCGTCGACCAATGCCAGTAATATGTGTGTCTTTTCTTCATTGACAGTCACATCATACACTCCTGACATTATTGAAGTAAAATCTACCAAGCAGAGTATAAGAGAATAAAAAAAAATAACTGTCTCTCTCTCTCCAAACAACATTTACGTGAAGAAAATAGTGAATCGAATGTGAAGGCGACATTATCCTGCTTGGTCTTCCATGTACTTTTTTCTTCTTCTCCTCCTCCTCCTCCTTAATATGTGACTTGTTCTCAAACATGAATAATATGAGTAAGAGAAAACACATGGCTTATTTTTTTGTTCTAAAGATAAATGTTGCTTGCAAAAGCTACTCATTTTTCTTTCCTTTGTTAAATATTTTTTTATGGGTTTTATACCAGTAACGTCATTTTATCTCGATCAATGCTATGCATGTTTTGCCAACGATGTACGTCATATAAATAGAAATAAAAAAAAGATAATGTTGCCTTCAATTTCGATTTCAGTAATTCTTCTACAAGTGACCTACATCTCAATTTTTCTTTTGCTATTACATAGTCGCATTTCGTGGATTTTACCCAAAGGTGAAAACAGAGACGTTTTAAAAAACTTCTTTAGATTCAAATGAAAAATATTTACTGAGTACCCGCCTTCCTCATATTCTTATGTAAAATCTATATTAAAAATGCTATTTAATGTTCAAAAATCCAAGACTAACAGTTTACCTCTCGCTCTGTTCATCTTTATGCTTTCAGAGTGTACCTCTACAACGGTAGTAAAGCCCTCGACACATTAGAAGACCCCGGATCTTCTATTAGTGCATATATTTCATATCTAGATCAACAAGTATAGATATCATAACTAAAGGTTTACAAGAAAAAGATATTGATGATTTATTAACAAAAATTAATTTAGATAAAATAAAAGTTCTTGCAACGTATTTTTCAGATATTAATAATAAATATAAAGATGCTTGTCAAATTTTCTTTGAAAAATATGAAGCTATAGTTAAATCTTTCAAAAATTCAGTACTCGAAAAAAATTTTCCGAACATTGCTAGAGAAATAACAAAACTATATAATGCATGTACTATTTTAGAACAACATTTAAATAGTGAATATATGATAACAAAATATAGAGAATCAAAAAAAATATTTTCTTCAAATATTAAATGATTCAGTTGTAAAACTAAATCATACACTTTCTCAAGAAAAATATGAAAATAAAACAATTGAAAACTTAAAAGAATGTGTACATATGTTTGAAACAGCTCTTAATACATTTACTTTGCAACCACATATTTCAAAAGAAGATATTAATCAAATTTATGAAGATCTTTTATTAAAAATATGAATCATTATGAACAGATTGATGAAAAAATCATTAAAGAACTTAAGAGTGAATGTTCATTTTGTGAATTAGAACAATTATTTACAGAGATTACTTCAATCCGAACAATATCTGTTATTGAATTTCGAACTAATCGTACTTATTATAGTACATTAGAACAAATATGTGGTTGTATGAAAGAATTAAGAAGAGAAATTGAAGAAATATTAAATAGATTCTATTGTAATGAAAAAAATAATTATAGAAGTCTAATGAAATGTCTATCAAGTTTAAAATATGCAAAATAGATAGAAAAATATCGACTTGAAGTCTATGTTGATGTAATCAATAATACTAAAATATAAATTCTTCAACATGTAAAAGAATTAGAAAAAATTGTTATGCAAACAGATTTAGATCTTGATAATTATGATAAAATTGAACGTATCGATAATATTGTATCAGAAATTCATGAGATGAGAGTTGTTAAAGAAATTGTTCCAAATATAGATGAACATATAGAAAAAATTACTTCTCAATATAGAAATGAAATAGATAATGTATTTACTATTATTAAAGATACATTTGATTTTGAGAAATGGAAAAAACAAAAAGATTCCATTTTAGGTTTTAGTATAGCTGAAAAAAGGATTTCATTATTTGGATGTTTGTAAAAGAATACATATTTCATTCAAAAATAATTGTACACTTCTTATTAATAAATTAAAAGAATTCATAAGAGAATTTAGTAATTCTATTCAAAATGAAATGACACAATGTTTTAAAGCTATTCAACAATATGAAAATGGAAATAAACAAGAAATATTTGACAAATCTTCAATATTATTATGTCGTTTAGAAGAAATTTTTGAAATAAAAAATAAATATCTTCAAGTTTTTTCTTGTTTTCAAAATATTATTGAAAAATGGGTAGATGAATTTTAATTGATCTATCAAGTGAAATAACATGTCTAAATGCTGGAGAAAATACTGACGCTATAAATAATAAACTATTAATTGCAAAAGCATGAAGTAAATTAGATCGATTTTTAAAAGGCAAAAAGTATAACGATATTTATGCTACATCTCAACATGTATTTCTTAATACAACTAATGATCGTGGTAGAAAAGTTATAGAGGATATTAATAATTTCAAATATGAACATGTTGGTAATGACATGATAACCTTAAAAACAGCAAATCAAGTAGGACAACATTTATTTGCACAAGCTAAACGAGTACTTAATATTGGTCTATATAATTTAATGGAAGAAACAAAAATTCAAACGATTATGCTTGGAAATACTATTGAAATTCAAGAAATTAGATCGATCGTAGAAAATTTGAGACGAATACAAAATGCAACAATAGATCTTTGTATTAATGAAGTTAAAAAATTAATCGAAGGACGAATAAAACTCTTTTTAGTAAGTGTTAATGATCTCATTAAAATTAACAATTTCTATGAAGCAGATGAAAAAATAAAATCCATTACATTAGTCAGTAATTTATTAGGTACATTTGGTACACAATATATATTTGAACAGATTGAAGAACTAAATAAAAATCTAGATATAGTCGTATCGAATGTTGTAGTGAAAAAATATGCCGAAATGGATATGAATGAATATACGTTAAATCCATCAAAAGATATATTTGATAAACTTGGAAAAGTTAGCGATATCAATCCTAGATATGCTAAACCTTTAGATGAAATAAGAAGAAGTATTTTGACTAAATTTAGAATAGAATTAGATGAAACTAAAAAAAAACAACCACCAAATTCTGATAATATTCATATAAGAAAGTTTGATTCAGGTGTTAAATATTTACCAGAAGATATGCAAGAAACTCTTAAAAAAGATTTACAACATTGTATAGTTGAAATTAATAAAAATATTGAAAAACATAATAGTGATTTAAAGGCAGCATGTGATAGTAGAGATCTTAAACGTATTAAAAAAGTTATTGAAGATTATCAAAAGTTCGAAGGTATGCAATATTATGCAAATAAAGATCGAGAATATGTTTTTCACAGACACAAGACATTACATCGAAAATAAATGAAAATGTTAAAGAATATAAAATAAAAGAAGCATTGAATAATATTGAAATAATTGTCAATAAAAATATGAAAAAGCTATGAAAGAAATAGATTTTACATCTCTTAAAGATGTTTTAGATATTATGAATAAATGGAATTCTTCATTAACAAAAATAAAAAATTTTGATGATATATCATATAAAAATGATACTTTAGTTATTATGATTATTACATGTATAAAAAAGTTGACATCCTATTCGAGTATGTTACAATTAATAGTAAAAACAATTCAAGAAATAAAAAAAATACTTTAATTCAGAGTAAATTAATTAATGAAGATAAAAATGAAATTGGAAAACATCGAGATGAACGTTATAAAAAATTTAATGAAAAATTTCCAATTTTAAACAAAGCTAAAGTATTAAGTAATTCTCATTTAAATATTGATTTAAATAAGATTGAACAAGAATGTTTATTGTCATTTGAAAAAGAAAATAGTAGACATTGTTTCATATGTTGAAAATATTTTAAATCGTTTTTCAACAAATATTCATTTAATACGAAAGGATTATACTGAATTTAATATATGTTATCTTAATTTTTTATCATTTCGACAAGAAATGACATCAATAGAATATGAAATAAAAGATAAAATAGGTAGAATTGAAAAAATTGAAATTTGGGCACGTTCAGCTGAACATGATTTAACAATTGAAAATGTTACTTCAATGTTAATAAATATGAACCGTACTTCAATGGATATGCCTTCATTTAAGACTAAAATAAATGAACGTATAGATGAATTACTTAATTATTATAAAACTATAACAAATGATAATATGGTTTTTACAAAGTTAGGTACACTTTTAAATCAAGATAAAACTGGTAAAGGTCAAACTATTATTTCAGAACATACATCATTTTAAGGTTATTCTCTATCTTTATTCAATCAAAAAACTCGAAAACATGACATTACATAGGTGTTAAATAATTTAGAAGGAGATTCTATTGATAAAAAATTATTAGAAAAACGATATGAACAGTTTAATAAAATTTATCAAGAATTAATTCAACAAAATCTAAAATCTAATATGAAATTAGATAAATTAATAGAAACTATTAAACTAATAGAAGAAAATAGAAAACAGGAACCAAATGAAATAGAATGGGATGCAGATATACGAAGAAAAGTTCCAGAATTAGCAGCACATATTTTTGCTTTATGGACACTTAAAAATGTAGAACATTATTTTGAAGCTGACGGTTCAGATAATCGAGATAATTATCTTTTGTACCATTATTTGATTCATTAGGTTTATTAAATTATATATATTATGGTACATTCAATAAACTATGTGAAGATATCATTAATGACAATGGTGATATTCGTCAAGTAGTTGAACAAATAATTTCTAAAGATTCTAATATAGGAATGAAAAATATTCAAAATATAAAACGTGCTAAAATATTATTAATTGATGAAGTTGATATTTTTTTTAGTCAAGATTTTTATGGTAATGTTTATACACCAACAGCTACTTTACGAGATCTTATTATAACATCATTAGTTCATTTGATTTGGAAAGAAAGAAAATATAAATTAAAACTTCATAGATTAAAAACTACAAATGAATATAATGAATGTTGTAATAAATATTCTAATTGGAAATTATTATTTGAAGAAGTTATGAAAGATATGCTTTTTGATGTTAATAATTTTGAATCACATGGTTATATTGTTAATCGTGATAAAATAGGATATATAGAACAGGATAATATTGTCTATAATGTTGCTTATGGTTATAAAACTCTATTTGCTTATTTTTATGAATATGAAAAATGAAAAATTAGTAAAAAAGTTTAGAAGAAAATATATATATAAAAGAATTAAATGCGGTAGGTTGTCTTATGCTGAAATACCACTTGAATATCAATATATTATGGGTGTTACAGGTACATTAAAAACTTTAAGTGATCCAGAAAGAAACATAATTGAAAATGTATATAAGATTAGTAAAAATATATATATGCCATCTGTATTTGGTATAAATAATCTTAAATTTACAATAAAAAATGATATTATGATTGAAAATGAATGTGATTATATTAATGTCATAAAACGAGAAATAGACGATAGATTAGTTGGAAAATCATCAGGAAAACGTGCTATTTTAGTATTTTTTGAATCAAATCGAAAATTAAAAGAATTTTATGATTCAACAGCATTAGGTTCATTAAAAGAATTAACTGTTTATTTAACAGAAGAAGCATCATTAGATGAAAAAGAAATTTTAATTAAACGAGCAACAACATCAGATCAAATAACATTATTTACGAGAACATTTGGTAGAGGAACAGATTTTAAATGTGATGATCAAATTATTGCTACAAATGGTGGTACTCATGTTATTCAAACATTTCTTTCAGAAGAAGTACAAATAAAAGGTAGAACAGCAAGACAAGGTGATCATAGATCTTATAGTATGATTCTACTTGATCGTGATCTTGAAAAATTTCATACAGAAAAAGTTGATATTGAAGATGTTAAAAAAGGTAAAGGAAAAATAAATAGATGAAGATGAAAAAATTTTTTAATCGAAGAAAATAAAGGAGTAGAAGGTTTCTATATTTCACGAACCGTTTGTCTTATGGACGCAACAGGTTCAATGTACTATTTATTACATAAGTGTAAAAATACAGTAGATATTATGTTTGAACGAGCTTCAGAAATTTTGAAAGAACAAAACATTAAATCAGATTTATTTCAACTTCAATTTGTTGTATATCGAAATTATAATAGTAAAGAAGATAAAATTTTGCAAAGTTCTCCTTGGAAAACTAAACCAGATAATTTACGTGCTTTTATGAATACAATTGAAGTTGAAGGAGGTTGACATAATGAAGCCATTGAAATTGGTTTATGGCATGCAAATCAAGAAAATGAAAGAGAAAATATTACACAAGTTATTTTGATAGGTGATGCTCCTCCAAATACAAAAGACGAAGTAAAAGAGAAAAGAAATGACTTTAAGGAAAAATACTGGAAAGGAACTAAATTTGAAAAACCAACCTATTATCAAGATGAGTTAGATAAATTAAAAGCACATAGAATTCCAGTACATGCTTTTTTGTTGAACAACAAGCCGAAATAATTTTTAAACAAATTGCCAAACAAACAGGTGGACGTTGTGAAATGTTAGACATAAATTCTTCATCAGGTTCACAAATGTTAACAGATCTAGTAACTGAAGAAATTCTTAGAAATATTGGAGGATCTACAAAAGGTAATGCTCTTGTTGAAGCATACGGGAAAAGATTTCATAAAGGTTATACATAAAAAAAAATATTTTATTACTAAAAATTATCTAAAAACAATATTACATCCTGTATCACTGTGGACTCCCATTGATTTCTTGTCTACATATTTTTTCTTCTCACACAGCACTTAAATTATACTTGTTTTTTTTTTATTGATTTATTTTTTGATCAAATGAAACCGTTCCTATATTTTTCTAGTTGTCAACTGTTTTTCTATTGTATTTGTATTCCTACTTGTGATATGTTTTCTTTCATATGTAATAATCTTTTATTTTAATCTCTTAGTTTTATTCTATTTTGTTTTTATTCTTGAATAAAAAAAAACTATAAAAATTTATTCTAGGATCCTAATTATATTTGGAGACTTGATTGGAAAGTAAAGTAGAATCAACCTTCAGCAAAGTTTCAGTTTAGGTGTGAATATACCTCAACAAATAGTTTTTTTTCTTAGATAACATATTGAAAACGATCAAAGTTTAATTCAGTTTTCAAATTTCATTTGACACAAAAAACATATCAATTCTTTGATACACCTATGTAAATTTTCTTGAATATGTCAAATAATCTTCAATACATAACTACTTGTCCTCTAATGTTAACATGTATACAATACATGCCATAGAAAAGGACAAATATTAATGTACTCTTTGTTTCGTTTGTTCAATTGCCATCTTAATCTGCTATAGACATCGATTTGATCATTTAGTAAGCACCAGAGTATACCATGATTACCTAAGTGCTTTTTTCTCGATGCTTGAGTCTGAGGACGGGGTGGAGGAGCCGAAAAAACCTTCCTTTAAACTTTCACTCAGTATATTGTTTGTATAGCAACTTCGAAAAAAAAATATAGGTAACTCTGTTGACGATAAATAAATATTTTGATAGAATGTGCATCCATGCATGATCAAGCATACTATTCAGATACATATAGGCAAACGAACAAGATTTGCTTTCACATTTTTTAAATATTTACAATCATCGACACATCATTTACATCAATATCAAATAATAAATGGCCGACCGAGACGAAAACCCACAAACTGGTAATGTTTATCGTTATGTTTTTTTTTCAAATAATGATTTTATTTTCTACTTTTAATTGTATCTTTCTTCTAGCTGAATGCCATGCGACTCCAGAAATTTCAAAATGTCCACCATACGAACCGAAAGTTGAAAAATGTTCACTATTCGGGCCTGAAGTTTCAAATTGTCCACCATACGTGCCTGAAGTTTCAAAATGTCCACCACATACATAATTAAACAATCAAATTCTAATAAACTATCATACGAACATTTAATTAAAGTCAATTTTTATTACTAGCTATAGATGTATTTATTAACAATTCGATCTAATAATTTTCTATCTCTTCATTAATGTATTCATCAAATACACTTTTTTTAAAATTTATTCTATTCAACCTACTTTACATTTCTATGAATCTTAATCAAACTAAACGAAATATTTCATTGATTCATAATATATTTACATAGAATAAAAGTTCTTAATACAAACATATTTTGAATATATTTTTAATGTTTCAATAACTCATGACAATTTTAGTTATTGAATATCATCGAGTCTATTCAAATGTATTTATTTTAAAGAGTTGAAGCATCATTTTTTTGTGAAATGAAGAAAAGATTCTAGAAAATTAGCTTCTATATTGTTTTTAGATGTGAATGTCTGATATATTGTTTGTCTTCTTTTTTCTACATATTACTATACAAATCATTCGTATACTTGATTATCTACTCCTTAGATGTTCACATCTTTTTTATGTTTGTTTAAAACACTGATTCTGATTTGTTTCATAGTCATTTAAATATTTAATACGAATCTAAGTAATATCTTATATTATTTCAGTCAATTTACATTGTGATAAATTATTATTATTATTATTATATTTGTTATCGTGAATTAAAAGTATTTTTTCTTACAAAGTAACCTTGAGTCTTGTTGTTATTATTAACTTCACCTGTATAGCAGTCGAATCATACACGAAATGTACCTGCTTATAATGCATAAGAAATAAGCGACAGAAAAGAAAAAGAAATCAAAAGAACATGTTTACATTAGAAATATAACATATTGGATAATTGTTCTGTACGATGAAAAGCAAAAAAGAGGAATATGTATAGCTAAACGATAACATAATTGACTTTACTCGCAATAATTAACTGACATTTTGATTTGGTAAACTTATCAATAATATTTTCAATATCTAGTTTACTGCGTACATGAATCAGTGAATGATCAAGATTTTAGCTATTTATTTACTACTCTCAGAAGAAAAGTCAACATACAATTATTTCTTGTTCTTTGTTTTTCTATTAATTCATCTTTAATAGATTAATAGTTTTCGCTTAATTGCAAAAAACATTATATTAATATTAAAAAATGGAAATCGAACAGTAAATTGAAAAAAAAAACATCGTCAAACACCCTCAGCTTTATTGATGTGAACCAGTTATTTCACATCGAGTTAAGTATGAAATTAAAGCTGCTTATCTTGCATTTACGATACTTGACTGTCGACCATTCAAAACAATTAATAATATTGATTATAAAAAATCTTGCACAATACTAATTGATACTAACCTAGTTTAAATAAGTTTTCATCAATTTCATGACAGAAAATGAACACTCGACAGTAACTACCAAAATCTCAATTTTAGGTAAGAATAGAATAGTGTCTTTTAATGATCTATCAACCGAATTGAAAATACACTCTTTGACCTATTTCACGTCTTAAGTAATGACAGACTATAATCGAATATGTACATTTTCTTCGACTTTCGAAAAACACATAATGTCGTAGTGAAATTTCTCGTTACGTTAATAGTCAATTTAATAATGAAAACAATCCTTCGTAGCTAATGCTCATTTGAAAAAAAGTAGATGGCAATTTTTTAAATAAATTTTGATAGAAACAAGATTGAGAGCTGCTATTTTCACCTTTAAACACAAGCGATGAACATCACCTGTGATATGACGATAGTGAATTTTCAATTATAATGTGTGCATCCGAACCGTCAATGAAAGATCTACAACACTATGCAAGCCTTAAATATTTCCAGTCAGTAATTGGGAAATCATATAGATTCGATTTTTCATGCAATTGCTATTTTTCTTCTGTTAAAAGGCACAATTTTTTTCGATACTGTTTCGTAAGTTTGATTAAAAATACTATAGAATACATTTTAGAAAAACTTATAACATATGATTCGATGCGACTTTATCTTCTCTTACTGATGATAAAAATCGCAATATTCTATCTTATTTGTATCAAAATTATTATCTATTTGCAAGCTTGTCGTTATCATTGGAATCAGAAACTAATATCTTTCTGTTTTTTATTGATTATTTTTGATAAATGGTTGCTAAAAAAATATTATGCTGATACTATTATGTGTGAATAGTGAAGTAGAACAAAAATACTTCTACTTGACATTATTTATTAAACAAAAGTGTGAGCATAAATATACAGCCAATTAATACCGTTCTTCTTTATTTTTTATTTCACGAAAATTATTCAATCTTAGATTGTATAACTAGCTGTTATGTTTAGTTTATTAAATCCAATTGATTCTTTCAGGTCAATATGAAGTAATCTGTATGTCAATTAAAGAAGTTACAAATGGTCGATAAAAAGATATTTGGATTTATACTGACGACGAAGTTGTTTCAGCAGATTTCATTTCATCTTTTTCTGTATGAAATACAATAGCTTTATTTTTATATAAGACAATAAATATATTTATTCAAATCACATTGTTGATCTTATCAGATATACTACCCAGAAGAATAATAGAAAATAAGCTTAAACAATTCTTCAAACACTTACAGACATTAATTTATTAATTTCATCTAGTTAACTTCTCTTTGTTTTTATTCAACGTTTTAATCGTAGTAAGAAAACTTCTATTCCATTTCCTATACTTCTAATTTAGATTATTATTTTCATTTATCCATAAGATGAAATAACACCAACACCCACGTATCCCACACCCATATCCTTTTCGATCCAAAATAAGGCTGAATTTTTCAGAATTCATCCAAAAGACTCGCTGATTCTGACCGTTTTTGATAGTTTTCTCACACCCAAATCATCGATGTTGGTATTAGTCATTCGGTGAATGTTTTGTTGATTCTTTTGTAGAGAGAGAGAGAAACATTATAAATAAGAGACGGAGACAAACAAAAACATTAGCTTCAAGGTTTGTTTTAGTGCAGTGCGAAGCAGTGTACTTGTGTTGCTGAGCAAATTTACTTTCTTCGCGAGTTTTGTTTTCTTTCTTTCCATTTTTTTTTTCTTTTTTCTTTTACTTTCTCCTCGTACGCATCGAAAGTCATTATTTTGTAACTGCATGATCTGAAGAATCGAAAATTAGAAAATTTTCGTTCCAACGCGAAGTAAGTGTCATTATCGAGTTGCTCAATTTTTTTTCTTCAAATCTTCTGAAACATTTTCTGTTCCTTTTCAAATATCATTAGAAAAACACGAATTTTTGAGGACTTTGTTTTTGTCAAGCTTCGAAATGATTAAAATAGAAACATTAACAAAAGTTAGGCACCAGTTTTTTTTTCTCATCTGTGAATACAGCTGATAAGAGATACTGTATCATAGAGATAATTAAACCATCCATTATATCGTTCAATTGAAATATGTTGATAGGCTTTGATAGAGTTCTCATAGTGATGAATTTTGCGATGTTTTTTCTTCAAGATCGAGACATGAATTTTATGACTCAAGTGACAGAAAAGTTGTTAATTCCAATAAAACGCTAAGATGACTTGGAAAAGCGATTCATTTTATATTCTGAATCCGATCATTCATCTTTTATCAGGTTTTCGTTTTTCCATAATACTGAAGATTCATGCTTTGCACCGCATTTCGTATTCGAGTCAAAACTCGAATACCATGTAGTTTTTTTTTCATTTTCATTTACTTTACGAACTCATTGAAACTTACCATTTGGTTATGTGATGATTTTAAATGCGAAGACCACAAAATAGCCGGTCAAACGTGCAATCTAAGCATCAACATCGAACTCATACATTTCATTGCGACATTGTCGAGGCGATGTTTCTAGTCTATCGAGTAACAATGTAGAAGCAAAAGTAAGAGGGTTCATGATGGAGTTTCATCTATCACGTGCTAGTACATGGAACACTTCAATGTTCAATCTCTTGAATGTGAGCTTTCACGAATAGAATTGATTGGTTTTGTCTAATTAAAGGTTCCATGGGGAATCACGTTTTGTACCACAAGAATCAACTCATCGAACTTTATCGACTAGAATAAATTCCTATCGAATCTACGATTAACATTTCGGATAGTTTCCTTGTAAGATTTTCATCAACAGTTCTTCTGGTAGCACTTCGCTTATTCTCTTGTAGAAATTGAAAAAAGTACATAATGAAGAGGTAATACCAAACACAACACTCTACTTTTAAATTCATTTTTGGGAAGAATTTGCCAGTATTGTCGATGAAAAATTCTTTTCGTTTCTTTCGTTTTATTTTGCTCCTCATCTGTTGTTGTTCTGTGAGTGCCTTGTATTTACTCTTGTAAAGCTCAAAGAAAATCACAGACACTCGCTTTCTCTAGCTGTTAAAATGTTTCTTCTTCCTTTTCATTGCGGTAGCTATTCTATCGAAGATGGCCTTGGTGGGAATATGGATACCTTAAACTGCCACCTACTTTGTATTTCGTATTAGTGTAGTAAAGCAGGAAAAAAAACGTGAATTTCACATTTCAGTTCTAAATAAGCTATGCTAACAAGCTGTTTTTTAAGATTCATTGCTTCACTTGTAGAACGAAATACAAACCTCATAGGTTAGTTGTATATGGGATATAAGAAAAAGTCGCACTATGTTAAATAATAAAAACATTATGTTAAACCAATGAATTTGTTTAATCGACTAATTTTCCTTCATCAGTTTTTATGAAATGCTCCTCTTCTTTTCTTTCTTACAGTATTCTGATGATTATATACTAACCTTCATGCACTATTTATAAGAACAACTGGACAACGATTCAAACACTGTTTATTCAATTTTACTAATGCTTCTAATTTTTTTTTTACCAATAAATTGAAAATAATATCACCAAGAGTACTTTTAGTGTTAAAAACAAATATATGATAGTTTTCTATTCATATATAGTCTCGGTAATGATCGTTCAAACATGTGATGTTTCTGTTATAGATATATAGATTAACAATTATTAGTTTTCTTTTACTTGAAGAATTAATTTCTACTTTGTTGATTTCGTATAATGGCAACTAGAAATGGAGCTGACAATTTATTCAAATATGCTGATACAAATCAATATGAAAAGTATGAATTCAGAATTTAAATTAAATGATAGATACATATATATACATATTTAGTATTGATAAACATGAATTTCCTCATGTGTTTTCAAATACTGAAGGATTGAATAATTCATCATATGACTCAACAGCTAAGAGACTCTATCGCACTGAATATATTACTATTCAATGTGATCAATATAACTATAATGGTAGTTATTACAATGCTTCAGAACTTACGGCTGATAAATATAGTCCACATGGAAGTACAATAGCACCTCCTGAGTGGGCTAATGCTACGGTGATTGATACATATAGTGAGGAAGAAACGAATGAATATCTTAGAAAATTAGGTGGTGATGTTTTTATCGATCCTAACCCACAAATTATTCGACGAGCAGTATCTGAAGCACCAGTAACACAAGAACAACTAGTTTTTGTTCAATATCTTCAACCCCCATCTGCTCCAGAATCAGAAGTAATGAGACAACTTATTGACAAATTCATTCTTACTGATCTTTGTATGATTATAGCCAATCATTGTTAAAGAAGTGCCTCGACAATAATCATCGCCACCTCCACAACTTGTTATATGCAAACATGCACCACGTCCTTCTGCACTATCTCCACTTATCTTGCGTGAATGGCCACAAACACTACTAGCACATGTTCTGAGTGAAACAAGTTTAAAAAAAAAGATTTATATTACATAGATTAGATAGATTAATGTATTTTATTTTACAGTTACTCGTAGCTTATCTCCTATACATGTGCCACTACGATCAGTTTTCATCGAACATTTTTCACCTCCTCCAGAAAAAACTACATAAAACAACTCTCTTCATTTTTCTTTGTGCTGTTTTTTTTAATTCTAGATTATTGTTTTTCCCATTTAGGTGGTATTATTATTGAACGATGAATTCCCTATGGGTCTCAACCTGAACGTCGTACAATAGTTGAACACGCTCCTCTTGTTATTGATTATCCACGACCGTATCATAATATTCTTGTTTATTACGTTGTTCAAGCATCTCCAACTCAATGACTTGAAAAATTTGGTGTCACCCAAGAAAATCCTGGCACTTATGTAGCTCGTTATAGGTTATGACTTTTGGGCTGTGGACGTAAGAATAGTGAAGAGAATATCTACACCCACAGCCGCACCCACTCTCTCAGCTCCAGCTACACCAATAATCATCTCCTCAATTGTTATGCAAAGGCATTTCCTTGTCAGTCGACATTTATTATCTTATTAAAAATAAAAACTGTAATTCATTCAACAATTTCAAAATACCTATTGATCATACAATAGAAATAAACTCTTAAACTAATGATTTTATAAATAGAATTGACGAATAACTTCTTAGAATATTTTAATCTAATTGAATCGATATTGTCTTCATAATAATATCAAACTACACATTTCAAAAACACGATATTAGATATGAGAAGAGAAATTGAGTTTTAAATATTTTCATATTTCGTTTTAATTTGTTCCATTGTGATTTTATTTTATCGTTTTAATTATTTTGGGTGAGGTGTGGAGGTGAAAGTCGGCATTCTGTTATTTTACACTCGCACACCCACACCCCACACTGGTCCAAAATGTCATACAGAGGAATTCTGAATAACAAGAAAAGTGTAGTTTATTTGATGAAAACGTCATTTTTGGTTTATTCAGTCATTTGCACATAGTTAAATGGCATTAAGTTAGAAAACAATTTTGATCATATATTTGGAAAGAGCATTAAATTTTGACTCTAAGGGGTTAGTTTTTCTATGATTGAATGGCGCTTAAGTATCTGAAAATAAGCTTCAAATTGGTGTTTGTTCAGACGACTAGTTTGAGCTGATACAAGCATTTGCTTCTAGTTAGCAGGCTTAAGTGAAAAAATAATTCTGAACATATCCTTTCATAGTAACTAGGAAGAGAATGACTTGGATACTTTTTCTTAACAATGAAAAAAGATGTTAAATGGCATTAACAGCTGTTCTAGATATTTCGAAACAAATACATAATTATATCAGGAATATCGAGAATGATGATCAGTGATGTATTGCTTTGTCATAGTTGTCATTTACTTAGCACAAAAAGCATGAATTAATCAAATTCTAATTACTGGAAATAATCACTATTGATAGGTACATTATTGATAAAAAGAGATTCCATTATTAATAGTTGGACTTCATGTAGAGATGATGATAGAAGTGAACTTATTGGTTATGTTGCCGAAAACATGATGCTTCAAGAATTTTTTGGCAATGTATCCAATACAATGATCCATGTACATTTACATATATACAAATACTAGATTCACTGAATATGTTGCACATTTTTTCATGTACATGCAGAAAATTGTGTTCACATATTACCAACATTAATAACGATCGATCCGATTACTAGTAAAAGTTGATATACACGTTCAGATATACCAGAAGGATCATTAGTAACAAAACTTATTTCATCGAAGTCAATTTAATAATCATGGCAACCACCATCAAGTGATGATGGTACAACATTAAGATCAATGTGGGCTAAAGTAAATTATTCATAAAAAAAAAAAATTTGTTTTATTAATATTCCTTTGTTTTTAGAATAGGTATGTCAAAGTTGTAATATATGTCGATTTACTTTCGATGAAGGTTTTATTTAATAGAAGTGACATTACAATAGGAATGTCACGGAATGATGGTGATAAACCATAAATGGAGTATTTATTAAAAATGCTTGATAGGGAAGAAGGTAAAAATAATGAATAAATACAAATAAAATTTTTTTTTTGAGTAACAAAATAAAATAAAAAAGTGTCTGCTATCATTGTTATAGTACAGCAGCTAACTCTTTTGAATATAGTAAAACAAAAGTAGTTGAACTAGAAAAAAAAAGCAAAATAGTCAGTTAATTAATTTACTTTCAACAGATGATCAACTCAATAGATTCATTTTTTTGAAAATTATAAAACCTCATTTTATATTATCGAATGTCGTGATGTTCGTAAAGCTAATTGGATTTTAGTAAAAAATAATTTTCATCAAAACAATATATATTATTATTGTTGTATTTGTGCATAAGAAATGAAGATGATCTTTCAGGGATGGATCATAGAATGAATAGTGCGTATATAATTCTATCAGACAGTGTCAAAGATTTTCACAAAAAGAGAACCTATATTTTAGTCTCATTAACAAAATTATATGATGTTAAGTATGGGATTCTGAAAATATTGACGAAATAAATTAGAAAAAAAATATATGCATAAAAAATCGCATATACAAGGGCAAGTATTACTATAGAATTTCTCTTATCAATTTATTACTTCAATGTACTTATTGAACCACTAGATACGCTAGAAGAATTAACAAAAAAATAGGATATTTTAATAGTTAATTGACATGAAGATTTATCAAACAGAAAAGAATTTAGATGCCAATCAATCAGTACCTCCTCGTTTATGTGAACGAATCAGGCGCATGTTCACTTACATAATGATACCGCCTATTAATACAAGTAATGCTATACTTATTCAGTTGAAGTTTTTCAAAGATGATAAAATATTAATAATTCTTTACAAACATGTACATGTCATGTGACCGATTTATTATCAGATGTACAATATATAGACTGTTGGCGTAATTCCTACGGTATTAAAATATAAAGTACGATGTATAAAAAATCAATGATTTAGAATATGTTTATGTTTAAACTGTGAGTTCCATTCGATATTTTTAAATGGTATAGATTGTTTTGCTTTTGTAATAAAAGTCTATCCAATATATGTATTACATTACGAGCACGAAAAATGTTATTAATCAAGTTAATATTAGTCTACAACATCTGGAAATTAATATACTATAACAAAAGAATTGTTAGATAAAATAAAAAATGAATTACAAATCCAGTTTTTTTTTATGTCGTGCATTATCAGTCAATTGACAAGTTGAACATGCATGTTCAGGATGTAGGTGTGAGAGAAGTCAAGACCAACACCCACACTTGCTTTCGATAGCGTGAAAGAATTGAAAATAAACGTCACTGAATAACTTCGGTACCCATTATATATCTACTTGAATTTAAAGTAGCCAAGATCTAGCATTTCTATTTTTTGCATTCACATTAGACTGTCTCAAAAGATCTCTTTTTCTCATAAGAAGCAAGTAAAAAATAAGCCTATTCTTGTTCTAAATATTCTTTTGGAAATATTAATTATTTTTGAAGTACAAGTTCAAATAACCTAACTCAATGCTTTTCTTCTTTTTTATTGAAAATACGATGAAATTTTGAATCTTCTAAAAAACCTGTTTAAATTGGAAAATGAATTGTACTGAAAACTATCAATCTTTGTCTCATCTGAAAGAAAAACTGTCTCATATACATAATCATGTAAATTTTATTGATTTCTACATGAAATAAAATGTAAAAACTTTTTAAGAACAGTCATAATTTGTTAACTATCAGTAATTGAATCATTGAATTAAGATCTATCTCACATTATACACAAATGAATATAGATCTTGTAACTCCACTTGACATGAATTTCAATGACTAAGTATGATTTTTTTAATCTTTTTTTGTCATCATTCTTCCTCCACACCTTCTGTGAATCTTTTACTGTTGCTATGTACAGTCCTTCTCAACAGAGAGCATATTTGAAAATAATAAAAAAAAAACGAAAGAAAGGAGGCAAGGCAAACAAAAATGGAGCAGAAAGCGTTGTTAAGCTACAAAAGTAAGAAAAAAAATCATTTGAAACAAGAACAAGCAAACGGTGTAAGTGCGAAAATTCCAACCAACAACGACATACAATTAGAATTATTGAGGATACTTTAGCTTAAATTATTTCATCGTGGTAAGTAACTTATTAGAAAGATTTCAACAGCAAAAGAAACCATTTTGAATGTGTATATTCTTAGCGCCAAGACACTCAGAAGAGTCTAGTTCGTTTTTTCTTTCACTCTAATCATGAGTTTCACTTATTAAAGAGATAAGAAACCAAAACCAATACAATCTAACTGCAAATTTAGAAAGACTAAGTATAAAAAACCATAAACACAATGGAAAAGTTGTCGATTGTGAACTAATTTGCGTAGATTGAAGGTCAAAATACTCAGACGAAAAATGTCTGGTTTGTATGCTCATACTTGAGAGTCAGAGTGCGTAACTTCAAGCATTTCATCAGGTGTTTTAGCATCGTATTTAGAGCCTCAGGCGTACAGAGCAGTTGATAGAAGTGATTTAGGAGAGCTTTGAAACATAGAGAAATCTGTTAGAGTGAGAGCTGAAACTTCCAAGTAACATGCGAATCGCTCAGAGTCAAAGCAAAATATACTGCTTTCACAAACATGGATTATAATAATAGACTAGGAGCTGCGATCACCGAGCTATTTAACAGGATGTCAGCGAAAAATTTCAAGTGGTATTGGAGTTATGAACATGACGACGTCATATTTTAACTTCTATAAAGCTGGAAAGACGGTTCGGTAAAAAGTCTTAGTAAACCTATCAATATGTCTAGGTCAGTATGAACAATGAGAGGTACCACAAAATCA